GGCTGGCATGCACAGTTTCAGACTTCGCGGTTTTGCACTGCCCCGAAGACAAAGGCCCTGCTTGCTTCGATGACCTGCCCAAAACCTGGGCGCCGACTCCGCGTGCGGAGGTGCAACGTAAGACTATCCGGTTCTGAATCGCGCGAGCGTGCCCTTGCGCTTGGCGTGGGCCTTGGCCGTCTAGAAGCCGCAAGGCATGACAGCCCACCAAGGCCGCGTCGTGTCCGTTGCCGGTTGCAGCGGGCCCGCGCCTGTGGAGGGGCTCGGGACGGCCTTCGCGGCGTGGGCCCGTGACACGAACTGGCACCCGATGGCGCTTCAGATTCCCCTCTCCTCGCGGGCCGTTTTTTTGTCCGCGCGCCCGACCCGCGATCTCTCTGCCAGAGCAGAATCCGAATACAAGGCCGACGCCATGTTTGTCAAGCTCCTCGAGGGGCGCGGCACTTCTCCCGAGGCGCTGCTGGCTGAGCACGAGAGGCGCCTCTGAGCAGTGACCTTGGCAAGGGCCGGGCGCGATACGACCGGCGCTCATGTTGCTGGCGCGCGGGCGATGCTGGCTGCCGTGGGCGCGGAGCCAGCCTCTGACAGTGTCTCACGCAGTACTGCTGGGAGAAATCGGGTCGCAAAGCCACTGGGCTGTGGAGCTTTGTGGCATCGCTTCGCGCGGAGAAGGAACGCGCGCCCGCCAAGGGTGCCCGGGGCAGCGCCGGAGCCCAGGCGACGCCGACGAAGAACAACCGCCCGGGGGCGGGAGCGGCGGATTGGAGCGCAGTCGAGAGCGCCGCGGCGCAGACAATTGTCGAGATGGGCTTCAAAGAGGCGGACATCACCCGTGCGCTCGAGCAGAGGTCATCCCAATGCGGGCACGCACTTACTGTTGTTGCCGAACGGCCTGGACGCACAGCGCACCAAGTACGAGGCAAACAACGGCTCTGGCGCCATAGTTGCAAGAAGGTGCGGAGCGCGGACCGCGAGAAGCTGGGGGAGACCAGGTCTCGACGCAGTACCCGCAGCGCGCCCGCGACGAGTCCAAGTTCGACTCGCGGGTGTGGGCCTTCGGCCAGCTTGCGAGGCGATCCGCGGGCGCTTGCTTCTGGTTGTCCGTCGCGGCCGGCTTGGCCGAATGCTCGCCGCGCGTTCTGGCCCAGGCTCAGCCGGGCGAGAGTCTAGTGCGGCAAGCGGTGCGCGAGCTGAGAGCACGGAGTCTGCAGCGATGCGCCGATGCCGGCGTGCACTCTTCACCGCTGGGCGTCGTGGCGGCGGCCTGCCGGGCACAGCTCTGCGGCGGCGGCGCCGCGGTGCGACTCGGGGCCGACAGGAGGGCGATCTAGCAGGCAGCCGCTGGCCTGGATGTCGCGGGCGCTGCGCGCGCCGAGGCGGATGTGCCGTCGCTGGGTCCAGAAGGCGGCCACCAAAGAGGATGCTGACGAGTGTGTGGTCGTGTGCGCCGCCTGGGAGTTGGCCTCTCGCATCACGATCATTCCACTGGCCATCGCTCGGACGTCCAATCCCTGTGTTCTTGTTCGGTCTCGTGCGTGGTTTTTTCGCCAAGTGATCAAGGATGCTCCTCGATGGTCCGCACCGAAGGAAAGATGCACACGTCCGAGCGATGCCAAGGCCTTCGCTGGGTCCAGAAGCTGGCCACCAGAGAGGATGCTGACGAGTTCGTGGTCATGTGCGCCGCCCGGGCGTTGGCCTCTCGCATCACGAGCATTCCACTCACTCCGCCGCACGCGCGCGGGCAGTGGGCCGTCGCCACGAGCGGCCCCGAAGGCGCTGACGGTGTGATTCGCTCGGGCAAGAATCCTGTACATAATATGTGTAGCTGCCACGGGGCGTGTGATGACCGTGCCAGGCTCGAGCTGCCAGTGTCGGCGACGCCTCAACGCCTGCGGTCGCGAGAGCTGCATTCGCCGGTCGTGCCCGAGAGGGTGAGCGCTGGATTTCGCAGCGAGCTCTGGCCGCGAGGCCGCTCTGGCGCGGCACCGGGGGCCCCCTCTGGTCTTCTCAGCTGGCCCGCCGCTGTGTGACAAAGGCCTTCGGTCGTCGGGCGTGCCACGGGGAGGTGGCAGCGATTTGCCAGGGATGGCGGCGGTGTCGCAATCACCAGCGTGGGCGTACAGACCGATGCATGGGTGTGTGGGATCGGTGGATGGTGAAATGAAAACCTGGTGGAATCGGCGGGTCGTGAGACAGATCGGTCGTGAGATCCATGGTGAGATCGATCGTGATATCGACAGTGGGGTCGGTACAGATGTAGTGGGATCGACGGGCATTCAGGCCGAAAGATAGCGAGCTCGCGAGATAGCCAAGCCGCTCGATAGTAAGATCGTGAGTGAGATCGCTGGTGCCATCGATAGTCGGTAATCGGATCGGTCGGGCGCGAGGTCGGAAAATAGTGAATCGCGTATGAGATGGGTGGTGACACCGATTGATAGTGGGACTGCGCCACAGGGGTCGCTCGCCGCTGTGCGAAAATGCTTTGGGCTATCTGGCGCGCCACAGGGGTCGCGGGGAAATACATGGCACCTCGAGCAATGGAGGTGGCAATTATTTGCCTGCGAATGCGGTGGTGCCGCAATCACCAGTGTGATTGTGCCATCGCGGGTGGGTCGTGCCGTTGGCTAGGCTCTGCAAGCCAAAGTTGCTTGATACACTGGTACTGATGCGCGCTGCCCGTTTGCGATGCCCGACTCATCACCAGCATCGCCGCCATGTGTCGCCACCGCCACACGCATTGTCACCAACATCGCCGCCAGACATCGCCATCACGCAATGCTGGCTGCGTCGTCATCACTCACCGTCGCCAGCTCGTCGTCGCCAGCGTCGTCACCATCGCAGCCGCTGCAGTCGTCCTCGATTGCCCCCATCTCCCCCCACAACCTCCTCATCATCCGAAGGGTGGCCGTACATGTACATCTATCCGCCACCGTGCCTCGAGGCACGAAGTAGAGTATCCTCAGGTCCTCAAGGGTCTCCTGTCTTCTGTACCCGAGACCGGGGGACTACAATATTCGTTTGGACGCCCGACATGGGCACGGAAACAATGGGCACAATGCCCAACAGCAAATGTTGTCCCGAACCAACAGCGGCCGCTGTTGGGCAGGCGGCCTTCTGTCTCAAATGGACACAGGCCGCGGCGGCGCGGACAGCGAGTCCTGTTCAAAACGAACAAGAACTGCTGTTTGGCATCGTACCCATTCTTTCCGTGCCCATCTCGTTCGTGCAGAATTCGAGGGGCTGGCCGCACAACTTCTCAAATGTTCCCAGCCTTCCCCCGCGCGCGCGCGCGCTCGCGCGCTCTGCGGCTCGGCCGCATGACTTTTCCCGAAGCCACGAGGCCCCAAGACAGGCCAGGAGGGCCCCGAGAAACGCTCGGGAGGCCCCCAAGACAGCCCAAGCGCGCTCCAAACGCCCAAGGTGGCCCCAAGACAATCCCAGATGCCCCCAATAAGCCCCAAGCGCGCTCCAAGAGGCCCCCCAAGAGGGTCCAAAGAGGCAAGCATCATTGATTTTCCTTATAGTGTTCGATGCTGTTCGCGATCTCGCGTTTTCGGGCTTCCGACGCTCCAAGATGGCCCCAGAGGCCCCCAAGACCGCCCCAGAACGGCCCAAGAGGCCCCCAAGAGGGCCCCCAAACGGCCCCAAAGCGGCCCCAAAGGGACCTAACACTGCCCAAGAGACGCCTAAGATCGCCCAAGAGGGCCCCAAGACGGCCCCAAACAACTCGAGCCTTCCGCCCCAATAGGCCCCCAGGATGACCCGAGAGGCCCCCCAAAGGCCCCCAAGAGGCCCCCTGGAGGCCCCCAAGAGGCCCATAAAGATGCCCCAGGAGGCCCCCAAGCGGCCCGCACGGGGCATCAAAGCTGCCCCCAAGGGGCCCCCGAGAGGCCTCCCACGATATCCAAACGAACATCCAAGAGGCCCCTAGCCCACAACCCAGGCACGGTGGCGGGATGGGCCGAAGGCCACCATCTATGTCTATGTACAAATGAATAGATGTGTGTGTACACAAGTTCACACATTCGGCATATTCTGCATGTGTGTTTCCTGAGCTCCGGGGCCACGCCCCGCCTCCCCCCATATGCGACGGGGGGAAGACGACGACGACCATGTCTAGCTTGGAAGGAAGGACGCCGACGATGATGACGACGACGACGACGAGGACGAGGACGATGACGACGACGACGACGACAAGCGCGGCGAAGACGACGACGACGGCGACGACGAGGACGACGACGACGAGGAGGTCGACGATGACGACGACGACGGCGGCGGCGGCGGTGGCGGCGCAGGCGGCGGCGGCGGCAAAGACAATGACGACGACGAGGACGACGACGACGACGACGACGACGACGACCGTCCTATTCTAGCTTGAAGACAAGGAACCAGGGGCAAGACGACGACAACGCCGCGGCCGCGGCCGACGACGACGACGATGCCGACCCCCCGCACCCCACACGGGAGGGGGGGGGGGGGGCGAACCCATTAGCGTTTGGAGGGGCGTGGCCCTGGACCATATGTACAGCAAGAGTGAGAGAGGGAGAGAAAGAAAGAAAGAAACAAAGAGAGAGAGAGAGAGAAAGAACGAGAGAGCGGGAGAGAGATCGAGAGAGAGAAAGAGAGAAAGAGAGAAAGAGAGAGAGAGAGAGAGGGGGCGGGAAAGGGGAGTTGGCGAGAGAGAGAGAGAGAAAAAAAAAAACAAAAATAAAAACAAATGGCGATGTCAGCCCGTACGCGCTTGGGGTCTCCCAGTCGCAGAATTCAAGAAATTATCAACGTACCGCTTGTTTGGTTCACGCGTTCAGCTGTAACCACTTCCCCAGACGAGTGGGTACTTCCGGAACCCATGAGGTCATACATACACATCGTGGACAAATCGTGGGCGCATAGACGGAGATAGCGAGAGAGAGAGAGAGAGCAATCGCGATGCGTCCGCATGCCACGCCAAACTTTCAATGAACTGAAGTGCAGGAGGAGGCGACACCAAGGCAACCGGCCTGACCCTCGTCCAGTCTCAGCGCCTCCCTGTCGTACAGGTCCTCCTCGGAGCGATGCACACGGCCAAGAGGCTCATACAAAGAGGCCGCGCTCTCAATCGTGCGGGAGCATCCAGAAGCTCTGCGTGGCTCATTCGAACCGATCACTGCCCATCCTGCCTTGCGCCCAATCACGTGGCAAGGCCTGCCCATGGCCACCCTAACACGGAGCCGCTGTTGGACGGATCCGCGCTTAGACGTCGAGATCAGCAGCTGACAGCAGCGAGGATAGGTTGGCTCACTGAAACACAACCTGAACGCATCAGGGGCTATGACAACTGAAACGGGCCCAACGCGTGAAGGACTGGGGTTGCTTCACCGCCTCGATGACATAATGACCGTAAGCACGATGGCGCGACCCGCGCATCCGCTTTAAAGCTTCCTGCATAACGGAGCACATGCATGAATATGTGAAACACCGCTTGCGGAACCTGGCTGACAATGAAAACGCGAAGTATATGGTATCCAGCCGTACTTGGATGAAAAAGCTTGGCACTGGAGATGCAGCACGTTAAAGAACACTGTCTACACGAGTTGGACGCCTTCCGCTGATGACACCGCTCTAGTTCTTGGCCACATGCATATTGAGCGCCGAATCTGCTTTACGCTGGAGAGCGTGTGTTTCTGAAACGCCATCACACGATGGAGAAGAAACAATGGTATGTGCAAGCGTCTTCCGTAACACAGACACGCAGACAAGAAGGAGCGCGCAACAACGACACAGTAAACATCCTCAAGCCGCTGCATGAAACCCTGGCAGCCCAGAAAGGCAGCACAATCATCCTGGAACGAGTTGAACGTTGATCTCAGCACAGCGCCTTCCCTGGTGGACGTCATAAGCACTGACCGCATGCAGCGCGCGCGGCGATATTCAGTTTGAAAGCGCTGCTCTCTCCACCCCTCGAGCACGATGTTTTCGTGATGCCGTACGACACATGGGCACTTGCTGAAATGAGCCAGCGCAGAGGTGACCGATGTTTGCAAGCATGCTTTTTCCTTCCACCCCTCCCAATCATGCAATCTGTGACAACCTTTCAAATCGACGGTCTGCCTGCATGCACAGGCCACTCAATTCCCGTGGCACCTTTGGTCGCCGTCGCCAGGAGGCAGGTGCAACGTGTGCGTCTTGGACTTCGCCCTCGCGTGCTCAAGCAACGAGACGAACGATACACGAACACAGTCAGGTGAACCAATTGCGAGCAATGCCAACTCCTGACCACGAACACCTAGCATGGACATCTGAAAAAGGAGGTAATGAGCAAAGGAAACAGTCGCTCGCCGCTTGGACAAAGGCAGGGGTGGACGAAACCGTTTGTGATGGTTTGCGACTCACTTCTGCTGTGTGAGGGCGATTTCCAACACGGGTGCTGAGTGCTTGTCGAGCTTCGGCTGCCAGCGACCGCTGACAAGGTCGCGTGAGAACTGAGGAGGAGGCGCGCTGGGGCGACCCGGAGCATGGGCACAGCCCCTCTGCCAACAGCGCCTGGTGCGGCACAGCATCGCATCCAGGCAAAATGGGCGCTGTACAGTCGGGGCGTTGACCTAAGGAACCCAAAGTAAGGAACGAGGCCCCTTTCTTCTACAAGTGAAACTTCGATTTCCCGTCGAAAACATAAGGAAAACCTGAGGCAAGCCGTGAAGCAACTAAGGAACACGGAGCCCCTCCCCAACGAAAAGGGTTCCTTCTTCAGGGCTCCGACTGTACTTGCAAACGGCTGTAACAAATCCAGTGTGCCTGCCTGAGCCTCCCACTGCCAGCTACCCTGAACAGCCGTTGGTACTGCCCGCGGTCTTGACCGAAGAGCCCTTACAGTAGAGTGTGCTGTAGCCTCTCAGGGATGCCGACCGATCAGACTGCACCTCAGAACGAGACTGTACAAACTTGCGCGGGTGGTCTTCCAGATCTAAAAAGACGAACCAACACACATTCATATGAACACTTCGCTATGGAAGATCCCTTTTCCTCCAACGCATGCACACGCACAAGAATGTTGACGTGTTCCACGTGTGCCACGCGCTCAGTCGTGTAGAGTTGTTGATGCGCATAGAACTCCTAATCATGGCACGTGTTTCGGCTGGACGTACTCGCACCCTGTCAGACCGCAGGGAGAGAGCAAGACCCATGAGAGACACGTGAGGGACGGAGTGGGGTTGAGAAAACGTGCAAGATATTGCTGATCATAAAAAGGGGCGACCAAGAACATGAGCGCGGGCGCACCCAGATGCCGCGGCACGAACGATACCTTCCCCCTCATCAAAGTCATTGCGTGCACGGACATGGCGGAGACAGGCTACAAAACTTGATATTCAACATCGCTCGTCTCTAGAATCATCGGCGGAGGCGGACCGACGCAACACATCAAACAACAACAGATCACCCTGGCGACATGCCCTACCCATCTGCAATACATGGCCAGAACAACGGGCAGCTCTGTTGCGGAAACTGGCACGACAAGGAATGCGACTGGTGAAGAAAATTGTTTGGGAGGCTCGCTCTTTGCACGACTCAGAAGGCACGAGATTTGGCGGCAACGGGGGAAGACGTATCGACAACGACGTGCGGTTACGTTCGTCGCCCTTGCCCTCTTCTGCGCCTGGTTCGTCGATGTGGAAGCTAAAGGGCTGCCTGGTGCAACATCGTCTGGCACCAATTGATAATCACTTGATTGCAGCAGTGATTGCCGCTTCGAACGCTGTTGCTTCCAGCGGTGCGCTGCCATGTCTATGCGGCGCACGGGGCGTCCATCTACCATCGTACCCTGAAGCGTATGTTTGTAAGTACGGGCGCGCAGTATTGAATGCGAACATCAGCGCGCACGCATGAACATGCTTACTGCACAAATGTGGTAAGAGCTCATTTGGGGAAGAGGTGAATGGAGGCGAGCGCAACGACAAACTCCACCAGCGTGTGACTACATGCTTTTGCAATGTCAAAGGCGTGGAACTGCAATGCTTTGACAGCGGTACAGGAAATTCCCGTGATGTCCCTCAACAGCAATACGCGTGCACTATGCACCTGCGCGAACAAGACATGCCATCTCGAAGCCATCCCACCTGACCAACACAGCTGACGAGGGCTCCGGGGTATTACGTCCATGAATGCTAAAACAAAATAATGTTGACACCATATTGCGCAGGCATGGCAATACGGAACCCATGGCGATGCCACTCAAAAACAATCGCCAACAACACTGGCATCTGGATCCCACGATGCATCGCTCCCTTGTCTGAGCCCGTCAGTGCCGCCTTCGAAGCCGCTGCCAGGGCCGCTGCACTGATGCACAGGCCTTCTCAACCCGCAACTACTCTCAAGCGGCCCCTGCATTCGCAACTATCCAAGCAAACTGCGGAGGAGGAGAAGAAGGAGGAGGAGGGATGAGGAGAGAAGAGGAGGAGGAGGAGGGAGGAGGGAGGAGGGAGGAGGAGGGAGGAGGAGGGGAGCGCGACCACCGAACTTTACAAGGCTCGGCCTCAGACGTTGTGCGAATCTGAAAGACTGCTACCTCTGCTCACGAAGGCCGGTTCGGAACGATCCAGGCGTACGACGAGGGGGCTTGTCCTCGCCCTGCACCCAGCGACGCCCGGTGTCTGAGATCATCTCGCCATGTCGGGAGGGAGGGAGGGAGAAGGGAGGGAGGAGGGATGGAGGAGGAGGAGGAGGAGGAGGAAGAGGAGGGGGAGGAGGAGGAGGAAGAGGAGAGGAGGAGGACCGACATCAGCGAGCTGCTGCACAGGTGGGACCGGAAGCGAGGTCCCCCACAGGCGCTTAAGCTCCATGGCCTGTGCAGGGTCGCAACCCCACGCCCGCCGCAGCCGAGACCTCATCTCGCCCTCCCTCTCTCTTTCCCTCCCTCTTTCCCTCTCTCCCTCTTTCTTTCTCTCTCTCTCTCTCTCTTTCTCTCTCTATCTCTCTCTCCCTCTCTCTCTATCTTTCTCTCTCTCTCTCTCTCCCTCCCTCTCTCTTTCCCTCTCTCCCTCTATCTCTCTCTCTCTCTCTTTCTCTCTCTCGCTCTCTCTTTCTCGCTCTCTCTCTCTTTCGTCAGAGCGGCTGCCTCCAATACCTCCTCAGTCCCGGTGTCCAAGACACCACGGAGGGCACGAACGGTGAGTACGATCAGCGATGCTGGTGGGTACAGCTCTGCCGCTGCAAACCTCGAACATGGACGCGGTCCGGAGGACGGAGACGATTCTAATCCGGCTGCCAAGATCCGCACCCGAGAGAGCGGCATGCATCTGGCTCAATTCCAGGGGCCTGGAAGCCATAAGCCTCAGCATATCCTCAAACGATTGCCAAGAGGGAGGGCAAACAGCCAGGCGGCGGGCCACTGTTCAGCTGGGTCACAGGAGAGGCAATCCTCGGAATCCCATGCTAAGCAAGACAATGAGGCAATGGGGCAACCCCACTTCCATCTTATCTTTACAGCTCCAGTCTTGTAGCCGAGGACCCCGACTGCATCTCACAGTTTGACCAAGAACCACAAGACACAGGACGGCGGTGACGCTTTGCAGCGTGACCCTTGCTGTGGAGGGAAGGGACAACGACAGCAACGCAGAGGGGAAAGCGAGGAGGTGTGGCCAAATAGAAGCAATACAGAAGACGCTGCTGCACCTGGCGAGCATGAGCAAAGAGCACGACCGAAAAAGCACACCCGATGCCGACTCCGATGCCAACGACGAAAGCGAAAACGACGGCGGCGACCACGCCGGCGGCAACGACGAAAACACCGACGCCGGCGCCAGGGACTACGGCGACGACACCGACGCCGCGCAGCGGCGGCGAGCGGCAGCGGCAGCGGCGCCCGACGCCGACGACGAACGGCGGCTGGCACGCCCCGCGCCCCCGAGGGCCGGCAGTCAGGCGGGCGGCGGGGCGCCGCCGCGGCCGCGCGCTCGCCTCCCTCCCACGCCGGGACTTCCCCGGCGCGTCCGCTTCTGCATCGTCGCCACCGCCGTCGCAGGTCGTCGCCGCCGCCGCCGCCGTCATCGCGTCGCCGCCGCCGCCGCCGTCATCGTCGTCGCCGCCGTCGCCGCCGTCGGCGTCGGCGTCGTCGCCGTCGCCGTCGGCGTCGTCGGCGTCGGCGTCGCCGTCCTCGTCCGAAGGCGGGGAAAGGGAAGAAGGCGGGGGGGGGGAGATGGGAAAGGGCCGCTTGCTCGATGGCTGCTCTGCCAACCCCGGCCCTCAGGCCCGCCCCCCTTCGCCCGCCGCCATTGGCTTCCGCCCGTGTTGGGCGCCCGAATTATCCGGGGTAACTCGGGTCCGGGTAACTCGGGCTTGGATTCCCGAAAAAGGAACCCGAGTTAGCCCTGACCCGAGTTACCCCTGATGATGTGGGGCTCTGGACGCCCGAATTATCCGGGGTAACTCGGGCCCGGGGTAACTCGGGTTCGGATTCCCGAAAAACGAACCCGAGTTAACCCTGACCCGAGTTACCCCTGATGATTCGGGGCTCTGACCATTGGCTTCCGCCCGCGGGCCGCCGGGCCGTCGCGACCGCGGGGCTGGACTGCGAGAGCTCTGGCGAGCCCTCCCCCGCCCGCCCGCTATCCCGCGCGCGGGCCGCCGCCCGCGCACGCCCCGGGCTGCGGGGGCGCGCTGCGCCACGCAGGCCCGCGCCGCGAGGGGCCCGCGCACTGGCGCCCCTCCCGGCCAGCTCGTGCAGGTCCAGCACGCCCCCGTGAGCCGCGGCAGACGGCTGGCCCGCACGCGCCCCCGCACGTGCCGCGAAACCGCCAAGGCCGCCTCGGCGCGCTCGAGGGAGAACGGGCTGCGGATCGGGTCAAC